CTGGGCCACAAACATCTATAGATCAATAAATATTTATTGCAACAGTCAGTATTAAACAGGTTCAATTGAATGAACCAGTCGGTACTGTGCATGAATTAAGTTACTTAGGTTCAAAGAGTGAAAATGTAAAACAATAGCTTAAATGGTCACTTAATGGGAGATTAGTTAATATGATAGGCTATGTTAAGATGTGATACTATGTGTGCATGTTTAAAATCTAATTGTATGGCCTGAAGAAATAGTCATTTGAAAGAATCCTTATCTCGAAACTCAGTCGATGACTGTGTTCACTATGTTTATCGATTGGTAGAGCATACACAAAACAAACTCAAGTGACCCATCAAAGTTTAGGCAAGCCCATCTGGTGGGTGTCGACATGTTTAGTTACCTTAGGGATATAACTCATAACACTCGTCTCAGCAGTGGTTTTACAATGGCACACGTATGTCATAAGTGTCTCTCAGGACAAACCATGTTGTATCGTGTATGTTTAAATGACATGTGGCTAAGTTAGTCATAACTACTATGACGAACGTGCTCAATTTTCATTCGAACGACCCTTGTAGAACGATGATCTACCATTATGCGACATACCCAAGCCAACGTATTCAAATAACGTGTTGAAAGACGGCCATAATAATAGACTGTATTTATTTATTCAATGATGATTTTTATTTGTCCAGAAAATGTTTGAACCAGACGGCCCTATGTCAAACATCGGAGTCACTCAATTTTAATCGCTGCAATATCTTACGAATATAATTTCACTTTATAATAAATCAAATTAAATTGTATTTATTTTAAAAATTACCTTTTTTAAACTTATCAGTGATAATAAGATTTTGTGAAAGTATGTTAAGTTACCGGTTTCCAAATAAATAAGAAATAAGTTCATGAGTTATTCCGGTTTATGCATAATCTTGGAAAGTGTTTTATTTTCTCTTTATACTGGTATAATAATATTAATAGTAATAATGATGGCACGATCAATATTATCATAACATATTTCATCCGTACATACCTATAGGATTACGAATTTATCATTTCAGATTAAACATTTATATATTTTAATTTCAATTCCAGTACTATTGATTTTGCCAACCACGCATGTCTAAACTAAATGGGGGATGTCGTCTAATTAGATATTTCAAACACAAGTTAATGCCTCTGGTAGTTTGCATAAACCATTTTCAGTAAACTTCCATATTCTTACTAAGTCTTATGACTGGAATATCTAATAACTGAGTGATATGTAATGTTAGGTATTGGTACACTATTCTTAATTATAAGTGAACCTAAATTTTTTGACTAAGGGATTTTGTTGTGTTCACCATTCTGATTACATCCTACCTAAGTGCGTCATCTAAATGATTTATATCCGAAAATCATGTTACATGGAAAGCAATATTCCGAGATGAAAAAAGTGACGAAGAAATACCGGTTTTCAAATTAATAATCCATTGTTTCCTCGTGGAAATTAATATTCATATCTATTGTTAGTCTTTGCTTGTTTACAACCAATCAAATCGTGCCACCACTTAGGAATATTGAGTTATAGATTAAAGTTTCGTTGTTGATTGCGTTTCGACCTTCAGATAGAAGATAGAAAAACTAGACCACAAATGAAATTTAAAATGTGCTGAATACATAGTCGTTCTATTATGGAACTCATCTTTCGAAATTCATTTTCACTATGTTAACTGCCTAAATTTAATAGTGCTTATTATAATCTAATGTATTTTAGTGAGTATATATATATCCATGGAATATTTTTGTACTCCTAACGGTTACTTTATCTTTCTTCGAGTTGTCGTAGTATATGATTACTATTATCATTGACACATTGTATGTATTCCGTTAATTTATTTTGATTTGCACCACTTTACAAAAGAAAGAAAAAAAGTATTCCAATATGATGAATTCACCGACAAGTTTCATAATAAAATTAGAACATATTTATAGTTCTATCAACTATGCATTTATATCATTGATTTTCTGAAACTGTTATAATAACTTAGAGATTATGATTAATATTTGATGAACTACTAAATAGTTAAGAGTTCATTATGTAAATGATTTAAATTTTATATAAAATACTCACAATTTAAATAAAATAAGTTGGATTTTCTTCTCTCAAGAGTATCCAGTGCTTTTATATACTTTTGATATTTATATATGTGTTCATCCAACACTAATCAAGGTCATCTACATTTTAATAATATGACCAAATAAAAAATATCTAACCAATGATATTCAACTTATAAAATCAATACAATAGGTCATTAGGTCGTTCGTATTTCAAATAGTTGACAAAGTAAAAAATATCATTCAAAATTATAATACATGTTTTTTTTTGAGAACATCATACGAAAACAATAGTAATATTGATAGTCGAGATCATGAGTCAATTAAAGCTAGACCACTATGGAAAATGTAGAAGCACTGGATGGCCGTTTCGTCTTACTGTGTAACTCCCCAGCGGTGCGCATCCACGATCCTACTTTGTGAGATTCTAGCCCAGGACCTATCAGTCTCGCGCGTTAGCGCTTAACCATTAGACCACTGAGCTGACCGACATCCAACGGTGTTAATGTCTAACTTCAACTAATCCACGAAATTGAGCGATACTTCCACCATTGTCTTCATTGAGTTGATATCTCACAACAGACCTGATTGAACTCCACTGATCACTTCTTCTCAATAGAACTCCAAGAAATACCTCTTGAAGATCGTCATTAGTGAGCATATGTGCTTCCAGGTTTTCCATAGTGGTCTAGCTTCAATTGACTCACGATCTCAACTATTAAAATTAATATAATATCCACAAAACTCCTGATAACAACCGTAATAGTTTAAACAGAGCAAGAACAACAAGGTTTTGTTTTTGCAGAATAAAATGAATTGTTTCACAGTTTCTTATCAAATGCATACAACCCTAAATTTACAATTACTAATAATAAATTTAATTATAAACAATTGTTTAGCATACTTTAGTTTGTGAAGTTTAGATAAATGTTCACAGAGTAACCAAAAGTTATATTTTGGGAAGTAGTAATTCAGATTGGAACAGGTGTTATAATTACCAGTGATCATAAAAGAGCTTATGTAAGGGTAATGAGACTAATAAGTGATTAGGTAATCATTAAATATGATGAAACAAACAAATATATGAACATCATTAAGATTATGTATGAGATGAATATCGGGAGACGAAACAAAGATATAAGGTTAAAAGTTGAAATTAATAAACGTTATTCGATGAACTCTCAATCATCATACCAGAGAATAGTTAACCGCAATTTTTGTCACTATATATAGATCAGGTCTAGGACGTTAATAGCTATCGAGTGATAATGATTATTGAAAAAAACTAGTAAAGTAATCATAATAATGGTGATAATGGTTGAAGTATATATGAGAAAAAGAGTGACTAAATTAATAAGAGGGTACACATTCTGTTGAATAATGTCAGAATTATTAGGCCCGTTGTAATCAACGTAAATCATGAATGAAGATATGACTAAAACAAGTGGTGTCATGATAACCACAAAAAGTGTGTTCGAACAAACAAAGCAAACAGTAACTTTTAAAAAGGCGGAAAGGGACAAGGAACGGAATGTTAGTGGCGAAGCTGTCACATTCTCAGTGCCAAGTGATCCACAAGTTCTTCGTGTATGTATAGACGGACTGAAGCGAAAAACAACATTTGTTTCTATCAATCAAGATCGAGTCCATCTGTATATGTTCAGAGATTCTCTTTGATGTTATCTTCGTTCTTCCAACGTACGTGTGAATAGGAAGATACGATTTTAGATAACTAAAAAAGCCTTTTAGTTGTATTTGTGATTATCAGGTTGATATATCTCAGTTCAGTGTTGGTCCTTAGCCGACGATTTTAGACATATTAGCGAAATCTTTGAATGGAAGTTTGACAAATGTTTTCATTTTACGAACAGTGGTTTCCTACTGCATCATTTGTCGACTTATAACTCTGATTTATGAACTGCATGGGATAATCATTTTCGATAAAGTTCTTCCGGATGAATCGCACTTTGTTGCTTTGAGGATCTTCGCAACATAATCTGGTTACCGTTCAGAATATTCTGATAAGTATCCTTTCATATGCATTTCAATAAAAGCTGCTGGTTTATGAATAATACCTTGTACAGAAAGTAGTACATTAGGTGAACTAATTGTAATTCGTGTTCGACGCTCGAACGTCAATTTTAGATTCAACTTAGCCAGATTTAAACTTCTAAATACATCATTATAATCAAGTTTATTGCATAGGATGAAAGTAACATTAACATATTTCAAATAGGAAGATATTTGCGTCTTGAATCCTTTACATTTCTAGTTGTACAATGAATACAACGACATATAAAGTGGCCCAATGAACTCATCATCTCAGTACCTGTTTATTTATAATTTCCATTAAAGTGAAACTGAACATTTTTCTAAGTGGAGAAACAATAATTATTTTACTCTATATTCAAACAATTTAATCTTATTAGTGCACTTTAATATAATGTCAGTAGTCTATTTTTCTTGTTTACTTCGGTGATGTATTGTCATTTACTACTCTTACAAAGTATCTCTAAAAACTCGTTTTATTTTTCATTTTTTAACAACGTATCATATGTTAATTAGGGTTAAAATATTTAGCATATGTAAATATTCTGTCATACAATTATTGGAGAATATTACTGAAATATATATGCAATCTACAAAATTATAATTCCGAAGTAACTAACGTTGTAAATACGAATCACCATGTAAACTTGAAGCTGTTCTTGTATGTATGTGTTAAGCGAAAATTAATGGATATTTGATAATAGAATCCGAATTTTCTTACTAGATTTTTCCTTTATTAAATAGGAATTTTAATAAAAAAGAATAGGATTTGAACTGATCAGACGTTGATACAAGTGGGAAATTTGTTTTCCAGTTATTATATTTGAATAATATTCCTATAAAAGTTAGGTCTTTATATATTTCAGATTTGACACATTCAAAAAAGAAAAGAAAACGAAAGAACAGAAGTCCTACGGATAGTTCTAATAGCACTACTTCTAGTTCTAATCCTTTAAAACAAAAATCAAAATCGTTAATTAAAGAAGAAGTGATCACATCATTTACTGGCGATCCGGTTGTTTATCCTCCATGTGTACGTCTAATGGTACTAGCATCACAATATGCTCAAACAGGACAACTTTTTATCATTACAAGTCAAGAGTCAACAGAAGGCAAGGGTTGTATTGGAAAATCGTCTCATTTATGTCCACATGCACATTTAACAAATGACCCAGAGATAAGCGAGGTAAGTAAAATAATTAATCATAAAAAATAATCCATAAACTATGATAAAAAAAACTGTAGCATTACATTAAATTATATGTATATACATTCCTACATCTGTACCAGTGAACTACGGAAAAGGTGGATGATGACATTTGTGGCAATGATCTGTCTGATGTGATTGGATGTGATGACTTGTGTTTGGTGTGTGAGGTGGATCATTGTGTTATTGTCCGTATAGTGTTGTTGGGTATGTAGCGGTGGCTGGCACTTGTTGCTTACTGAGAGAAGTGTTGTTCACGGAGATGCATTGTACCAGTATGATGTGTTTGTTTTGAGTTGAGGATTAGGTGTTGTGAATAGTATTAGTACAGTGTATTGTGTGGAATGATGCTAATCGGTGTGTTGTGTGATGTGTGTTCTGCATGATGGATAGTGTTAATTTGGCGCGATAGAATTGCCAAAGTTGAGTGTGATGTTGGATATGATCTACTGAAATGATGTAAAGTAGTATAAGTGGGTAGTGTTTGTAAAAATTGTAATTGATGTTTCCGTGTTTATTTGTGTATATGATGATGATTTTTGTTGAGAATTGGGTTGTAGTTATAAATATTTATGTGGTGAGAGTGTTATATGGTGATGCGACTGGTTGTGTATGTTGTATGTGTGAAACGTTTGCTAATTGATGATTGAGTGTAATGTGTTGAAGTATAATAGGCAGATTATTGTTGAATGGTGTGCTTAAACTTACTTGGCGCCGGGACCAGGGTGATCACGAATGCTCTGGCCCCAGGTGGAGGCTCGCCATTGCACTCCGGCGTGTTGAAGCCTGCGACGATCCCTAATCGGGCTCGCTCGGACGCGTAGTTTTTGTCAGTGGGGAGGTCTTCGGATCATCCCTTTGAATAGCAATATAATTCTCTTTAAAATCGACCACTGCCACACCATACACATATTCAGACTTAACAAAACCCACCTAATCATCAACTTCCCCACTCTATACACTCAACACCTGACATACACTCTACTTTCATTGCACAATATGAAACATCAATCACCCACCACACTCAAACAACTGCCTCCACAAATAACTACTTACACCACTTCACTCATTCCATAACACACCAGCTCTTACACAACCCAACAGACAAACACTGGTCCACTGGTGCTTCGCATTACCGTGCACATTACCATCAAGCGAACTTCACACTCATCTAGTTCACTAGACCAGTTCATATACTTGGTCATGGTTGCGTTGTGATTTTAATGAGACTATTGCATTCGATGGCAATTATCCTATGTCACAATGTATATGTGTATGTATGGGTCGTTCGTAATTCAACATTGTTAGTTGGTGTGTCCGAGTCCTGTGAGTAGTGGTGCTGCCGCTACAGGGGAATAAGTAGAGAACTATATGGTAATGCGGTGTAGTTAGAATGACTTGACAAAGCTTTGAATACGTACAGCTCACTTCAGTGACGTTGATGTTTGTGGTTGTGGTAAATGCAATCACGTATGATATTTGTGTCACGATATATATATATATATATATATATATATATATATATGTACATGTGTTCAGGCGGCTTGTTAATCGTTGAAGGTCTTGGGAACAGGTGGATGATGACCGTTGTGGCGATGATCTGTCTGATGTGATTGGATGTGATGACTTGTGTTTGGTGTGTGAGGTGGATCATTGTGTTATTGTCCGTATAGTGTTGTTGGGTATGTAGCGGTGGCTGGCACTTGTTGCTTACTGAGAGAAGTGTTGTTCACGGAGATGCATTGTACCAGTATGATGTGTTTGTTTTGAGTTGAGGATTAGGTGTTGTGAATAGTATTAGTACAGTGTATTGTGTGGAATGATGCTAATCGGTGTGTTGTGTGATGTGTGTTCTGCATGATGGATAGTGTTAATTTGGCGCGATAGAATTGCCAAAGTTGAGTGTGATGTTGGATATGATCTACTGAAATGATGTAAAGTAGTATAAGTGGGTAGTGTTTGTAAAAATTGTAATTGATGTTTCCGTGTTTATTTGTGTATATGATGATGATTTTTGTTGAGAATTGGGTTGTAGTTATAAATATTTATGTGGTGAGAGTGTTATATGGTGATGCGACTGGTTGTGTATGTTGTATGTGTGAAACGTTTGCTAATTGATGATTGAGTGTAATGTGTTGAAGTATAATAGGCAGATTATTGTTGAATGGTGTGCTTAAACTTACTTGGCGCCGGGACCAGGGTGATCACGAATGCTCTGGCCCCAGGTGGAGGCTCGCCATTGCACTCCGGCGTGTTGAAGCCTGCGACGATCCCTAATCGGGCTCGCTCGGACGCGTAGTTTTTGTCAGTGGGGAGGTCTTCGGATCATCCCTTTGAATAGCAATATAATTCTCTTTAAAATCGACCACTGCCACACCATACACATATTCAGACTTAACAAAACCCACCTAATCATCAACTTCCCCACTCTATACACTCAACACCTGACATACACTCTACTTTCATTGCACAATATGAAACATCAATCACCCACCACACTCAAACAACTGCCTCCACAAATAACTACTTACACCACTTCACTCATTCCATAACACACCAGCTCTTACACAACCCAACAGACAAACACTGGTCCACTGGTGCTTCGCATTACCGTGCACATTACCATCAAGCGAACTTCACACTCATCTAGTTCACTAGACCAGTTCATATACTTGGTCATGGTTGCGTTGTGATTTTAATGAGACTATTGCATTCGATGGCAATTATCCTATGTCACAATGTATATGTGTATGTATGGGTCGTTCGTAATTCAACATTGTTAGTTGGTGTGTCCGAGTCCTGTGAGTAGTGGTGCTGCCGCTACAGGGGAATAAGTAGAGAACTATATGGTAATGCGGTGTAGTTAGAATGACTTGACAAAGCTTTGAATACGTACAGCTCACTTCAGTGACGTTGATGTTTGTGGTTGTGGTAAATGCAATCACGTATGATATTTGTGTCACGATATATATATATATATATATATATATATATATATATATGTACATGTGTTCAGGCGGCTTGTTAATCGTTGAAGGTCTTGGGAACAGGTGGATGATGACCGTTGTGGCGATGATCTGTCTGATGTGATTGGATGTGATGACTTGTGTTTGGTGTGTGAGGTGGATCATTGTGTTATTGTCCGTATAGTGTTGTTGGGTATGTAGCGGTGGCTGGCACTTGTTGCTTACTGAGAGAAGTGTTGTTCACGGAGATGCATTGTACCAGTATGATGTGTTTGTTTTGAGTTGAGGATTAGGTGTTGTGAATAGTATTAGTACAGTGTATTGTGTGGAATGATGCTAATCGGTGTGTTGTGTGATGTGTGTTCTGCATGATGGATAGTGTTAATTTGGCGCGATAGAATTGCCAAAGTTGAGTGTGATGTTGGATATGATCTACTGAAATGATGTAAAGTAGTATAAGTGGGTAGTGTTTGTAAAAATTGTAATTGATGTTTCCGTGTTTATTTGTGTATATGATGATGATTTTTGTTGAGAATTGGGTTGTAGTTATAAATATTTATGTGGTGAGAGTGTTATATGGTGATGCGACTGGTTGTGTATGTTGTATGTGTGAAACGTTTGCTAATTGATGATTGAGTGTAATGTGTTGAAGTATAATAGGCAGATTATTGTTGAATGGTGTGCTTAAACTTACTTGGCGCCGGGACCAGGGTGATCACGAATGCTCTGGCCCCAGGTGGAGGCTCGCCATTGCACTCCGGCGTGTTGAAGCCTGCGACGATCCCTAATCGGGCTCGCTCGGACGCGTAGTTTTTGTCAGTGGGGAGGTCTTCGGATCATCCCTTTGAATAGCAATATAATTCTCTTTAAAATCGACCACTGCCACACCATACACATATTCAGACTTAACAAAACCCACCTAATCATCAACTTCCCCACTCTATACACTCAACACCTGACATACACTCTACTTTCATTGCACAATATGAAACATCAATCACCCACCACACTCAAACAACTGCCTCCACAAATAACTACTTACACCACTTCACTCATTCCATAACACACCAGCTCTTACACAACCCAACAGACAAACACTGGTCCACTGGTGCTTCGCATTACCGTGCACATTACCATCAAGCGAACTTCACACTCATCTAGTTCACTAGACCAGTTCATATACTTGGTCATGGTTGCGTTGTGATTTTAATGAGACTATTGCATTCGATGGCAATTATCCTATGTCACAATGTATATGTGTATGTATGGGTCGTTCGTAATTCAACATTGTTAGTTGGTGTGTCCGAGTCCTGTGAGTAGTGGTGCTGCCGCTACAGGGGAATAAGTAGAGAACTATATGGTAATGCGGTGTAGTTAGAATGACTTGACAAAGCTTTGAATACGTACAGCTCACTTCAGTGACGTTGATGTTTGTGGTTGTGGTAAATGCAATCACGTATGATATTTGTGTCACGATATATATATATATATATATATATATATATGTACATGTGTTCAGGCGGCTTGTTAATCGTTGAAGGTCTTGGGAACAGGTGGATGATGACCGTTGTGGCGATGATCTGTCTGATGTGATTGGATGTGATGACTTGTGTTTGGTGTGTGAGGTGGATCATTGTGTTATTGTCCGTATAGTGTTGTTGGGTATGTAGCGGTGGCTGGCACTTGTTGCTTACTGAGAGAAGTGTTGTTCACGGAGATGCATTGTACCAGTATGATGTGTTTGTTTTGAGTTGAGGATTAGGTGTTGTGAATAGTATTAGTACAGTGTATTGTGTGGAATGATGCTAATCGGTGTGTTGTGTGATGTGTGTTCTGCATGATGGATAGTGTTAATTTGGCGCGATAGAATTGCCAAAGTTGAGTGTGATGTTGGATATGATCTACTGAAATGATGTAAAGTAGTATAAGTGGGTAGTGTTTGTAAAAATTGTAATTGATGTTTCCGTGTTTATTTGTGTATATGATGATGATTTTTGTTGAGAATTGGGTTGT